TTTTTTTTTTTAAGTTTAAGAGTAGTGAAAACAATCTTTTACTTTTCTGACAGTAAGGTGTGGTGCCTGTCGTTTTTGTAACTAGTCCAGGATTTTTCTAACCTGCGTCTGACCTGACTCGAGCTGTCACAGAGGATTGATTCACATGTCGGTACCTCTTTGCAAGAGTTGGAGGTAAAGAAGCGGTCAGTCGGTTCCTGTTTTTGTTTGTGTTGTGCTCTGTACTGACTGCAACTCCCATTAGACAAGGCAATGATACGAGTACGTATGGCAGTAATTTAGAAAACGAATGCTGCAAATCCGAAGCTGATGGCGTGCTGAGAAATGCCTGCAGTTAGAATACAACCAAAGATGATAGTTGGATTCCCTGTTTTATTTATTTTTATTATTATTATTTTTTAATAGAGAAGCTGTTGTGCGCGAAAAGTGAGTTTCATTAATTTGGGTTTGTCCTGTGCTCCATGGGGGAAATGGCAACTGACTTTATATGGAAGTTTTGCTCAACAAGGTGGCGTGTTGGTAGTGATAGAGTACTGTGCAAAAGGCTTAAGCCACCCCTAACTTCTGTTTATTTTGTGAGGAAAATTGGAAATGGGTGCTTTCATCTATTTAAACATGTGGAAACGTACATGGAAATATAAACGCAAAATACAGAGTTTGAGAGTCAGTATTTGGTATGACCACCTTTATTCTACAACGCAGTCTTTTCTCGCTACTTGTGCAGTTACCTCAGATTTTTCAAGGACACACTGCACATCATGACGAGAGATGCCAAGGTTTCTACTAACTCTTAACAATGGCTATTAACGCTGCCTAAAGATAAAGTTTAGGATTGGTTCTTTGTTAAGTTGTCTGTTGTGTGCAGACACTTTTCATCCCTTAAGTGCATAAGTTATGTGATTCACAGGGCAGTGTTAAGTGGATTACCAAACCAAAAATAATACAATGAAAAATATTCTTCTGAAAAGATACAAGGACTGGACTTAAAATGAGTGAAAAATCTGACAGTTTCACAAAGAAAAGCTGGAGAACTATTGCTCAAGAGCAAAAAATTGTGAGAAAGTCTGGCTCCTTAGAAGCAAAATATACAGAATTGAGGGGTGGCTCAAGACTTTTACACACTGGTGATTACTATTAGTAATACTACTTGTAGTCTTCGCTATTGTCATTAATATTACTATTGTTGTTATTGTACTGTTATTATTTTTAATATACATTTATAGCAGCTTAAGAAAGCACTTTACAAAGTGCTTAGACAAGCAAATTCACATGTGTTACTCATAAAAAAAATCCAAATCACAAATATCCATAACTTTGCTAATTATCCTGCATCCAGCACTGGTAGCTTTGTTTTGTTCAAATCAGCTTTGCTCTGATTATACTAATGCTTGGGTATGCACTGGTCTCTGGTCGCTGCATTAGTTACAACAAAGCAGTTTAGGAGAGACTTATGTGTGTCTCATTGCTGTTGACATAAACTCAGACATGATGTGCAACAAAATGCTGACTATAGTTGACTTAACAGCCATGACTGTCATTAACAGTGATTTTCTGAAAGTTAAACTGACCTCCTCTTAATGTAAGGAATGTGTTGAATACTCTGTCATATCGGGAGATCTGAGTGAGACATTATTTTTTTCCCTGACAGTTCATCTGCGCCTCTGTCACTGTGATGGCTCAGGGATCGGAGAGAATCTGGCACTCCTCCCAAATATACGGCACAGATTTATAAGCGAAACGAATGTTTAGAGGTAATTACAGGAGCTGTAACGCTCTTGATTACAGCGTGAGGCATCATGACTTCAGTATGCATTAGCTCTCCCTGTCTGCCTGGCTCAGACGTTGATAAATGTGGGGATATACGCGTGTGTGTCAGTGGCACACTTTTGCTGAAGTAATAGCTAGGTTAATGACATGAACTCTGACCTGCTAATTTTCCCATCCCATTACAAGTTGGGAGTCCTACTTTTTCTGTGTGCCAGTAATTGAGCAGAGAGATCACACCTTCTGTGTTAAAGTGTGTTTTAGTGATGCAGTGAATGGCACATGTATGCACGCGTTAGTATGTGTGATATAATTTTTTTCTGCTTGCTTTGGCCTGGGTGTTGGCAGGATGTTTTTGATTTGGGTTGGTGTGATTGTTTATCCCTTGTGTGGTCTACAGACATGATTTATTCATATCTGACCTCCTCTTTCCTGTCCTGCCCCCCTGTGCCCGGTGTGCTGCAGTCGTTAGCCTGGCAGGACCAGCGTCGATCCCTTAAGGTCCATCTGCGTGTGTGCCGTGTGTTTGTTTGTTTCTTTTGCCGGAGTGAATGAAAGGAGAGGATTTTGGCACTTATTTTTCCACAAGTGTGTGTCTGTGCATGTGTTTAGCCTGCCTATGCTGAGTTCCCGAGAGTCCCCTCTGATTGTGTGCAGTCTCCTCTGATTTGAATAACAATGAGCAGGGGAATGCAGGCGGTGTGTTGTCACCCTGCCTGGATCACCCAAAATGAATCAGGTTTTTCAGACTAATGTGTTACAGTCGGTCCAGATGTGTTGTGGCCTGCCCCGAGGGTTTGTTTGTGCCCAGCGTGATAAAAACTTCCCTGCTGTGGATCTAATGGAGTGGGGAGTAACACAGCAAACAGCTTTCATCTTAACCATTTAGTTATTTAACCATGACCAAAATATAAAAAACATTGATGGTATTTCTGTCACATCATTACTGTGTACTGTATGTGGATTATCTAAACAGTTGCCACAAAGGCACTGAAAAGTATGTGTTCTGCCCAAAAAAGTCATCTTGAGATATGATGAAGTTGCAAACCACTGCAACTAAGCTGGGAAAATCTGTCAGGCATTTTATAAATTATACATATAAATTTATACATTATACAATACTGTATTGTATGTGGCACTGATTATATATTTTTTCCCTACAGTAGAAACAAGCATCATATTTATTGATATGCCTTTATTTAAACAGGAAACGTGGTTGAGGAGTATTTTACAAGGGAGATTAGAGGGGTTGTACTACAAAACAAAATTAATGTGTTAGCGAGCTTAGATTTATGAAGGTGTCTTTCTTTCTACGTGGGTCAATCGCTGTGTTAACTTGTGCTGAACACACAACGTGGTCTGGAGCAGAGTTTTGGTCTAAAATCTAACATCGAAACTAGAGCAGGGCGATATGGCCAAAAATATTTATCTCGATATATATTTGAAAATTTGCGATAACGATATAACTGACTATATAATTGATGCGAGACAAAATACAACTCCACAATTTTACTAACGCAAAAACCCCATCTATTTATTTTCACTTAAACAAGCAGCTGTTTTTTATGTGCATTAAAGCTATATAAAAATTTAACAGTGCAAATGCAAATTCCTTGCTGAAACTTTAACCAAAAGACATTTCCAGTTGAAATGGGCTGACATATCCTGAGCATAAACATGTATAATATCCACTAAAGTTAAAAAGAGGTGCCTTGCAACATTAAACTGCAGTGTGCCAAATAAAAAAAGTCAAATACGTATTTTTCGGACCATAAGGTGCACAGGATTACAAGGCACATTAACCGAAACAAAGCAGTCGGATAAATCAAACTTTATTCAACTCATTCTTCTTGCTTCCTCCACTTCTGTACCATTGATTCATTAATGCTGTATTCTATCACAGCTGCTCTATTCCCATGTTGTTGCAGTATATTAATGACTAACCTCATATTGTGGATGGATTCTCTCAGTTGTTCTCCTGACTGAAGTTTGGTCCGTTTACAGCATCCTGCCATGCTATTGCATTTGTCCCTAACCATCAGGAACCTTCACGTTAACTTTTATCGAGTGGAAAAAAGTTAGCATTCATCCTCCAGCTTTACTGTTTATGTTATGCTAACATAGCTGTGTCGCTAGCGATCACGTAGCACATCATTATATACCACCTAGTCCAACTTCAGTAACCCTACAAATGTCACTGCTATTTAGTTTTCAGTCTTCATTGATGTTGGAAGTGATAGCATAGCTGTACGTTTGAATTATTTCAGAAATCTCTCAGTCAGAACATGCTATATCATGTTTAGGTAACTAGCGAAACTAGCGAGCTAACTTCCGCTAACTTCCTGCTAACTTCTAACTCCGTTAAATGTAATAAATTCTGTTTTCATGGATGCCTGGATGTTAAACTTAATCGTTACACCTGGTAAAGCAGCAATGCTGATCAATTTATTAAAGATGAAAGAA